TTGGGCTTTCATGACCTTCATAGTACTAATATAAACATGTGTATTACGGTCATTTTAAACTCAAATTTGAGTCTCTAAGACCTTCAGAAGCTGAGATACATATTTCCCATATACGCACCTGATATGAAATATGGGCGTGGCTCCACAGGGTTGAAACTACTTATAGAATTTGCTTACTTTATCAATTCTAATTCAGAATGACCTAACAGAGGACCCTGTGTTTAGAAATCTTGTAGACACTGAACTGCTTACTCGATTTTCACTAAATTTCTAGAGTAGATTTTGTTACTCACGCTCAAGTGAAAATCGGTTTTTCTGAATTTTTCCCAAAAATAAGCATTTTGGGCTTTCATGACCTTCATAGTACTAATATAAACATGTGCATTGCGGTCATTTTAAACTCAAATTTGAGTCTCTAAGACCTTCAGAAGCTGAGATACATATTTCCCATATACGCACCTGATATGAAATATGGGCGTGGCTCCACAGGGTTGGGGCTAGCGACACAAAATTCCCCCCTCGGTGATTTGAGTTACCAATGACCTATTTAACCCGATTCAATAGCAAAAAACTCTGTACATCGAAGTGCACACTCAACACCTCCCTGCTACTGGAGTATTTATAATGTCTATTATCCCTTAACCCACTTCCAAACTATCCTAAATTTGAGTTCTATAATGTTTTTTAAATAACCTTACGTTACTGAATAATGACTTGAAAGTCAGAATTCCATAACGCAATATCTGGGTTTGGAAATGTTGACAGATTGTTTCTTATTAGATTCTTAACAATTATTGAAGTTGAGTCCAGCTTCATAGATTGCTACGTCCAATTTATAAATAGCAAAAAAGCCAATCCAACATATTGTAAAGGAAAACTGATGAGCATTCTGATATAGGTTAGCAACATTACAAGTTACCATGGCTGCCGTGTTAGCTGCTGCCATGTTAGTTGCTATAGTTACCATGTTAGTTGCTATAGTTACTAGATATAAGTAAGCAACATATAATATCTTTATGCTTTTTATACAGTTTAACCACTCACAATTTAAGCATGGCCGGAGTCACAAAATGATAAACATGGTTACTGATGGTTAATGGAACTGTCTTTTCAAAAAAAATCTGACCGATCAGCACTGGAAGACTTAGTGTGGGTGATTGATTGCTCTAGCTGGTGGAGCTGTCCAATAAAGCCAATATTTGGGGATATGTCACTCTTGATGGATTTGACAAAAGAGTATGCTTCTTCAAAAGTCATTTTGTTACGCACCATCATATAAGCAACAGTTATTGTGACACTTCGTGAGATTCCTGCAAAACAGTACACCAGAACATGACCATAGTTATTACGGGCATCATCTATAAAACAGAAGGCTTCTTCAAGGACATCTTTTACATTTTGAGTTGTCTGATCTTTCAGGGGTATTTTCTTATACTTCATGCACCCAGAGGTTTGTATGTTGGGGCTGCTTATACTGGTGTTCAGCAGGTGAGTTATTCCCAGAGATTTTACATCGCCAGCGGCATCAGTTTCGCTTCCCAGGGACAAGTATGGTGTAATTCTCACAATTGTTGGATTAGGTTTATCTTTAATGAGATCATTGTCACTCAAAGGCTTCAAATTGAGAGATAGAGATCTGCTGAATGTCCGAGTTCCCATGATTGCTAGGCTCTGGCTTATCAAGACATCCTGCAAAATTAAGGGTATTTAAGAAAATATTGTCAAAGCTAAAACAGCTAAATATTAAGAGTCTTAATAAAATGGTAGATACAAATTCAATATTTTATTCTGTTAATAATAGTCTTAATTGAGAATTGATTGATGAGAAAAAAAGTGTCAAATTCAGATGAGACATTTTATGACATATCACAAAGCGAAGCAAACATTCTATAGATTAAGAACAATATTATTATCGATTATATTCAAAGTTTGAAGTAACCATACGGATACAAAATTGACGGATCAGTTATGTCTTAACCAGAAGTATGCTGTATGTCGGGATCAATTTATCAATGTAAGTTACATGCTGCACAACTAAAACCAGTCATCAGCAGAATCAGTGGTACAAATTATTTATTATCAAATTGATTTATTGTAAACTTGTTTATTCTGTAATAAATGGCATAAAATTGAAATTTTTGTTTAACTGAAATTTTTGTTTATCTGATTAAACTGAAAATGTTTTAATTTTAGATTTAGAAGGATATGTAAAGGATATGTAAAGTGTTTTGTTTAAGGATTTACATTTCGGGTTTTACAATTAAGGGATCAGAATAATATATAATAGAACTGCGGATTAATACTCATATCATTTACTTTGCAGTCAGAAAAGTATATTTATAATTGTATGGATTGGATGTTATCATCTAGCGCTAAAATTTATTTTGGTATTCTTTATTGAGATTTATATTTATGGATTGATTGTGTAATGAATTGATGATAAATAATCAAATTGTCTTTTCTCAAAAAAATTGTCTTCTCTCAATTCAGGTATCAGACCTCACCTGAGGTCTAGACTAAACTAAACTAGACCTCAGATGAGGCCATACCAAGAGATCCTTGACAAATTAAATCGGATTTCGATCAAATATGACCTCTCAGCATGAAGCAATGAAGTATCTATATCCTATCCTGGGGTCTAGGGGTCGTTCACATATTACGCAGCCAAGGGGGGGGGGGTGGTTTCCAAGTGATTACAAAGTAGAGTAAAGTAAAGTTAAATTTACGACATTACATCATCACACATGTCTACAAAATATCATCACGCTATGTGAAAAAATATATAATAAATATTTTCCCACCGCATCAACATTAATTATTTATCAAATACAATATTTTTATAAATTTATATTTATATTTAAAACAATATCCTATTTTAAAAACATCCCAGTGGATTAAAGATTTATAAAACTCTTCTTTGCCACTGCAATTTGGCACAATAGCTATGTGTAAAACTGATAACGGAGGGGGCCGGGGGGGTAAAAATTGTCCAAAAAATGTTCGTAATATATGAACGATCCCTTAGGGTGAGAGGAACATTCTATCAATAAATTAAAAATCGGAAAAATCACTCATTGGATGAAATTACGAAATGTAAGCCCAGGAAAAGTTACTGGCTGGTGGTGGTACTAGAGTTGGTTTAATTTAAAGAGACGGCTCGACCTCGCGGGCGACATCAAGCATGATTTGCACGCGTGGCGCATTCCACTGTTCAAACAGCTAGCACGTGACACAATTCAGCCAATCAGAGTACAGGAATCCGCAAAGCTAAAGCTGTGTACTTTTATAAGGCCCAAAATAATACTTTTCGCGATGATTCAAAATCTACACTGTTTCGAATTTCCCTCTGGGGGGAGACGTTATTTTTACAAGGCGAACATTTTGTTGAAAACCAGACGTTTCTATCTTTTTATTTTCGAAGTTAGGCCCCTACCAGTAAGGGTTTCTGGGAGTGCATAATATGGCAATTTAACTTCAGCTAAGGCTTTTAGCCAATAAACATGCCTGGTTCAGATGTGATATATAAAGTGTTTGTCAGGTTCAGGTTTAAATTGCATGTTGCAGCGGATTGTAAGGTTTTGCTCCTCCGTATCAAAAAAAAAAAAAAAAGGAAGCAACTCACGGTATCACTCTCATAAGAGACATGTTTCATCATTTACCGGAGTTGCAACCAAATATACACAATAAGGTTTGGTACTTTATCTGTACCTCCCCTTTCATAGAAATAATAGCAAAAATATACACCTATCTTTAAGAAATCAACATCTGATATAAAACATTCGATCAACCAAAATTAAGACAATTTTCCTGTTAAAAATTTAACGGCACTCATAAGAGGTCATACTAGGTATAAGTCCAAATGCTGTGTCAGCAACCGTTTTTGTTACTTTCTTTTCTTCTTGACTCCTCACACCATGAACTGATACCACTAAGCTTTTAAGCATAGCAAAGCATATCTTGGTCCTGATGTAGTTGATAACATCTGTGTAGCTCTCCTTTCTCTTTGTTTGCTCCTCCGTATCTCCTGATTAAAATTATGCATGTTCTGAGCTGGTTTTCTTAGCATAAGAAATTTCAGCAATGGTAATTGTCTAGCTGTAAGGATAGACACCATCGAAAATTAATAAACCCAATACATTTAATGTTATAAAAAAAGCACAAATTTAAAAAACCGGGGTAAAAATAAAACCCTTTGTAATATATGGTCAACTAAAAATAAAAATCCACAAATTCACATCACAACAAAAAGTTGTAGCGCGATGCGTTACTGCGCCGCGCACTCAATGAGGCTTCTCACAGCTAGATCGGCAAAATGCAATACTGTGCCGCGCCGAGCTGCGATGAGTTGTAGACACAGTCAATTAAAACAAAAAGTTGATACATGTTACGTATCCCAAATATCAGAGATATACAATTTCCGCCTTCTGCGGCGCGCGCTACTAAAAGTAGCTGGAGCTTTGATTTAACTTTTGAACGCGTGACGATGCCATTCTGTTTTGTCCAGTGTTAATGGACTAACCCGGCGCGCGCTACTTCATACTTCGCAGCACTTGCATCGGGCTATTATAATTCGAGAAGAAAGTGACGCAAGATACTTTGTATTTCGAAGAAAATTAGAAGAGTATGTCATCCGTCAAATCTTTTGTAGCGCGATGCGTTACTGTGCCGCTCCGCGCACTCATTAAGGCTTCTCACAGCGGCGAGATGCGCTACTGTGCCGCGCCGAGCTGCCATGAATTGACATCGTCAATTAATCGAATCTTTTTCAGCCTAGCGCGTACGATCCCTTTACTGTTTACTACTTCGGATGATTGCAAAGAGTATTATCAATCATTTCATGCGCGGCGCTATAAGCTACAAATTTATCATGCGAACTCACGTGTTTTGCGCCACCTGGTGTACACAAAATACGTTAGGAGACCGCGCCGCCGTAAATTTGCGGAACAGTAATACTGTCAGTAAAGCTTACTCGTTCCCCGGAATAATACGTAACACCCGTATTGAACTAATAGATAATCAATTAACATATTACAGCCTCATCATTTATCACATAAAGCTATGTTAAAGATGTGAAAACGTCCTCAAAATGAGCGATTAATATACACTAATATTCAATCGAGGGCCATATGATACAATCAGCTTTAGAGCTCTAGGGCTACAGGCTGCTATGCGGGTCACATACATAAGGCCATAGAGATATTATTGAAGTTCTTCGATTTATGTCAAAAGATTAAGATCGTCCTTAAGCAAGGTCATCTTAAGAATATGAAGTTAATTGGCTTCTTCCTTATTTAAAGTTGATCTTTTTGGTACTATTAGAAAGAAGGGGTTGCATCGTATGACCCAAAGAGAATACAAATAAATTAAACTTCCCATGTATGCCAAATTGTTGATCTATAAAATATACGGCAGAATGCAGGGATGTAGGAATTGGTGTTCAACTGTGATTGAAAAGAATATATTTTGCAAATTTGCTTATTTTTTTTTCTAGCAGCGTTTTCTTAAAAATTTCCATCGACCAACAATATGACATTTGAGTTAAAGGATAGAAAACAAAAATATATTAATTCTGACAGTTTAATAAACCTAAAATAAAGGTAAGCGGCAACGAGAAGTAGCTCGATGTACAAAAATCACAGCCAAACAAAAAACACATCAATTATGGCAATTAAACTACAGTCACCTAATACTTTAAGTATACTAATCAACGATATAATCTATATCAATGGTGACAACACACACTTAAAACGATATAAATGTGTTTATAATAATATAAACCTTCCAACACACGATAAACTTAGTAATGTTTATAAACTGAGATACAAACTTAATCTGTTTCCATGGTAACTGTTTACATGGTAAGATGGTAACTGTTTCCATGGCAACTGTTTCCATGGTAACTGTTTCCATGGTAACTGTTTCCATAGTAACTGTTTCCATTGTAACTGTTTCCATGGTAACCAGGTATGTGTTTCCACGGTTACTGTTTCCCCTAAAACACCATCAAATTATTCTCAGTGTACCCTAGCTTCTCAAGGTTGGGAAGACAAGCGAACTTTATCATAGGAGGGGGTCCACACATCATTACAGCAGATTCAGGGCCAGGTGCAGGGAGGTGATTAGCTATCATGTCAGCTGTTACAAAGCCCGTATCATACTTCCAACCTGGAGGTATTATTGGGGTAATAATTGTGAAATTAATTGTGTCAAAGTTAGAATCTGGTCGATTAAATGCACAGTTTCGGGGTGTTTTTATAATTGCGTTGAAGTGAGAGCCTTGTTATTATATTCCATAATATTGTCATCTATTCTAATAAATGTGACCAGCTGTAGCAACATGGCCGGATAAATGATAATACCCTGTTTGTGTAACCCATCACACCCAATTATATACTGACTGTTTGAAGGGGTCATTTACTCAACTGGTTTTCAAGTCTCTTATAAACGCCGTAAATAACGTGACTCATTAAGATTTCAAGTTGAATGGTCTAACTACTGTTTATGTAGCCGCACAGAATATGTTGAATACTAATTATTCCTTCTAGCAGCGTGACAAATTGATATGATGATTGATATAATGTAGAAGGCCGAAAAAGTGATATTTAATCGATTTCTCTGTTACTCCAGCTTCATTATAATGTAAAATGTTCCCATGATTATATCCCCGATAAGTCGTCAACATTGAGCTCCAATAATTGTACGTGTGCCTTGAGAACCACATAGGTACCAGTTTCAAAAACTAAGGAATATTTCACATACCAGTCTCAAAAACTGAGGAATATTTCACATACCAGTCTCAAAAACTGAGGAATATTTCACAAACCAGTTGCCGGAGCTTTGTCCACTGTGTACCAAACATTGAACCTCTCATCAGACTGCATACTTTCAATAATATCCTGACACAGAATATCCTCAGGTGTCTGATTAGCAAACAAGAGGAAGATCTCTGAATCGTCACCAGGGTTCTTTAGAATCTCAGTTGCTACCTGCAGCATCGGCGTAATACCTGGTAATTAGTGTTTCATTAATTAGGTAATTAAGTAATTAGGGCAAGAAATTGCATATCAAAATAATAAGATAACACTAACAGTTTTAGATTGTTATCTATTTATAGTTTGAGTTACGTCATTAGTAATATGTGTTTTGGTGATTATACGTAGAATTGAGATTGATAGTTCCCAAACAAATCATTTTGTTGAATAATCTAATTATTAAAATATTTAGGTAATTTAATTATTTGAATAATTAATCACCTGAACCGCCAGCTATCATTCCTATCTTCCTTCCTAACACACGGTTCACAGCTCCTTTCTTCTTCACTTCATACTTACCGTTTCCAAGATAGTTGATCTTTCCCTGTATATATTAGAAATATTACAAAATATATTACAAAATATATTACAAATATTACAAATATCACAAATATTACATACATACATACATACATGTTACATGGTAAGGTCTCCTCCTAGTCGTTGGAGTGGCCTGCATCACACACATCGCGTTGGCGGCGTAACATATGTCTCCACTGTACTCGGTTGGTAGCCAAAGCTTCTGTTGTGTTATTGTCGATGTTTTCAACACCTGTAAACTTAGCAGCATCTTCGAGTACGCAGGACTTCCAATTCTTACGGGGTCTGCCCCTTGACCTCTTTCTTCCATAATTTGGCTTCCAGTTCAACAGAAACCTCGGTAGTCTAGAGTCTGGCATTCTAACTACATGTCCATACCAACGTAGCCTGGCAGCACTGATGAAAGTCTCAACAGACTTGATGCCAGCCCTCCTAAGAACTTCGTCGTTGGTCACATGAAAGAACCATTTGATCCTAAGGATCCTTCTCAAGGAGGTTTGATGGAAAACCTCGAAGCGTTTCATCTGCTTTTTGGTGGTGTTCCAGACTTCAGCTCCATACAACAAGATGGTGAGGACAGCAGCCCTATAGATCCTGATCTTGGTTGGAGTCTTTATAGTTCTGCTATTCCAAATGTTCCAGAGCTGATGAAAGGCGCCATTAGCCTTCTGGATACGGACATCCAGGTCTTTGTTGATTGTCCCATCCCCACTGATAGTTGCACCCAGGTAGACAAAGTTGCTAACCTGCTCGACGGGTTCACCCTCAACCGACAGCTCAATACAATCATCCTTGATGAAAGGTCGCTGGGAGGCGCACTTGCTTACAGCCATGCATTGGGTCTTCTTTGCATTTATTCTGAGCCCAGCGTAGGAGCTGTAATGAACTAATAGATCAGTTGACTCCTGTAGGCCTTCCCCTGAGTTGTCCATAATAGCCATGTCATCAGCATAATCGGTGTCCAGAATGACCTTTTCCTCGACCGTCTTCATCTCTTTCTGCAGCACTGCGCCTTGACTGATGATCTTGTTGGTCTCAGCCAGAAATGCAGAAAAGTTTAGGCAGAAATTAAAGACAGGAGGTGCTTGAATGTCACCCTGACCTGTGCCTGAGTTAACATCAAACCAGTCTGTCAGCTTCCCCATCACAAATATTACAAATATTAAAAATATCACAAATATCACAAATATTAAAAATATCACAAATATTGCAAATATTACAAACATTACAAATATTACAAATATCACAAATATCACAAATATTAAAAATATCACAAATATTACAAATATTACAAATATTTAAAATATTGCAAATATTTGAAACATACCTTAGGACCCCGAACGTCTATACAGTCCCCAATCTTCATATTCTCCAGGTACTGGGTCAGCTTACCACCGGCAGGGAACTTGGGGTGAACGTCTTTAAAATAAACCTGCAAGGTAATTAGTTGGTAATTAGTTTGTAATTAGTTGGTTAATTAGTTGGTGATTAGATGGTAATTAGATGGATAATAAATGGTTTTAATCAATTGATTAAATTGCTTAATTTTGTCGGCTGTTACAGTCAGAATTATGACTTATGAGTATTGCTGAAAACTTATGTTATGAGATGTAACAGTGAGGCCGTTTTCCATTGTCCACATTAAATATCACAGAGGTTCCCGAACACTAACCTTTAAAACCTGGTCACGTGGTTTAAAATAGTACCTGGTCACGTAAAGCCTAGTCACGGGACGCCTCTAATTCAAAGCCTGGTCAGTGTGGTCACGTGAAGCCTCTAATTTGAGACAGTGTAATAATATGATGATAATAAACTTATAATCCGAACTGCATGGGTAACACCAATATTGGGAAGACTCCTACAGCTTACTCCTACATGTTAACCTCAGAGGAGACGTTGTTAATCAGCTTTACAACTTTTAACATAGAAGGACTCGGTTCTAAACAAGATGAATCAGTAAATAGGAAACAGGAAAATGCTCCTCCAGGTACAGTACTGATGTCTGTACCTTTAAGGAGACAAACTAGGTTGTTGAGAGGTGCCATACTGGTGGAAGAGGCGGAGGAGGTGGAATAGGCGGAAGGTGACGTCTTGTACCGAATAATCTCATATTTTTGATAAACTGAGGGATTTCAGAATCCAGGAGTTTAATTTGAAGCCCCCCTCTCCCTTCTTCCTCTCAACTCAGAATATCTCTAGATCTACCCTCTTATTTCATGAATTAATCAATTCAGAATATCTCTAGATCTACCCTCTTATTTCATGAATTAAACAACTCAGAATTTCTCTAGATCTACCCTCTTATTTCATATATTAATCAATTCAGAATTTCTCTAGATCTACCTTCTTATTTCATGAATTAATCAATTCAGAATTTCTCTAGTTCTACCCTCTTATTTCATTAATTAATCAATTCAGAATATCTCTAGATATACCCTCTTATTTCATTAATTAATCAATTCAGAATATCTCTAGATCTACCTCTTATTTCATTAATTAATCAATTCAGAATATCTCTAGATCTACCCTCTTATTTTATGAATTAAACAATTCTGTATTTATTCCACTAATTAATTCTGTACACTTGACGACTGTGCTATATACTAGTGAGACGAAGTAACTGCTATTTATACAATAGCTCACAACTCACATGTGACATGATGGCTCACACAGTCAAAAGGGTGTGGCTCTTATTGGCTCTTGTTGGCTCTTTATTCGGCTATTTGTTCACAAAATATTAAATTACCCTCTCGGAATTATGTGACCTACAGTTATAGTATATTAAATAAACGGTTGTGTTGATCCTATAATTTTATAATGTTCTTAGCAGACAATAGAAATGTGTTGGCGACACTACGAAGTGATAAGTTCTCTTTATTAGTTACTCTAATCAGCTCTTTGTTATCGCCTTCTTAGTTTCGCTCTTTTTACATTACGTTCATTTTCAGAGCAGTTTCTGTAATGTGCCTAATTGAAACTAGTTCGGTAGTAATAACAAACAAAACTTGATGAGGCGGGTCACTCCACTCCTCTACTCTACTTCTCTCTTTATCTTTACATTCTTTATCACACTTCTGTTGCAGTTAACGTGGGTATTGTGTAATGACATTTAGTTGCCCGGGACATTTTCAGAGCTCTTATTCAATCTAAGAGTCTATGACTGCCACAAGATTATGATGTTATTTTTTGAAACTTGTTCGATAACTTTTTTCGGCTATCACGTGTCTGAATGATCTGTACCACAGCATCTAATTTGTAAAGTAAACTTCAAGTGAGGGAGTACCACAGCATCTAATTTGTAAAGTAAACTTCAAGTGAGGGAGTACCACAGCATCTAATTTGTAAAGTAAACTTCAAGTGAGGGAGTACCACAGCATCTAATTTGTAAAGTAAACTTCAAGTGAGGGAGTACCACAGCATCTAATTTGTAAAGTAAACTTCAAGTGAGGGAGTACCACAGCATCTAATTTGTAAAGTAAACTTCAAGTGAGGGAGTACCACAGCATCTAATTTGTAAAGTAAACTTCAAGTGAGGGAGTACCACAGCATCTAATTTGTAAAGTAAACTTCAAGTGAGGGAGTACCACAGCATCTAATTTGTAAAGTAAACTTCAAGTGAGGGAGTACCACAGCATCTAATTTGTAAAGTAAACTTCAAGTGAGGGAGTACCACAGCATCTAATTTGTAAAGTAAACTTCAAGTGAGGGAGTACCACAGCATCTAATTTGTAAAGTAAACTTCAAGTGAGGGAGTACCACAGCATCTAATTTGTAAAGTAAACTTCAAGTGAGGGAGTACCACAGCATCTAATTTGTAAAGTAAACTTCAAGTGAGGGAGTACCACAGCATCTAATTTGTAAAGTAAACTTCAAGTGAGGGAGTACCACAGCATCTAATTTGTAAAGTAAACTTCAAGTGAGGGAGTACCACAGCATCTAATTTGTAAAGTATACTTCAAGTGAGGGAGTACCACAGCATCTAATTTGTAAAGTAAACTTCAAGTGAGGGAGTACCACAGCATCTAATTTGTAAAGTAAACTTCAAGTGAGGGAGTACCACAGCATCTAATTTGTAAAGTAAACTTCAAGTGAGGGAGTACCACAGCATCTAATTTGTAAAGTAAACTTCAAGTGAGCAAGTACCACAGCATCTAATTTGTAAAGTAAACTTCAAGTGAGGGAGTACCACAGCATCTAATTTTTAAAGTAAACTTCAAGTGAGGGAGTACCACAGCATCTAATTTGTAAAGTAAACTTCAAGTGAGGGAGTACCACAGCATCTAATTTGTAAAGTAAACTTCAAGTGAGGGAGTACCACAGCATCTAATTTGTAAGGTAAACTTCAAGTGAGGGAGTACCACAGCATATAATTTGTAAAGTAAACTTCAAGTGAGGGAGTACCGCAGCATATAATTTGTAAAGTAAACTTCAAGTGAGGGAGTACCACAGCATCTAATTTGTAAAGTGACCTTCAAGTGAGGGAGTACCACAGCATCTAATTTGTAAAGTAAACTTCAAGTGAGGGAGTACCACATCATCTAATTTGTAAAGTAAACTTCAAGTGAGGGAGTACCACAGCATCTAATTTGTAAAGTAAACTTCAAGTGAGGGAGTACCACAGCATCTAATTTGTAAAGTAAACTTCAAGTGAGGGAGTACCACAGTATCTAATTTGTAAAGTAAACTTCAAGTGAGGGAGTACCACAGCATCTAATTTGTAAAGTAAACTTCAAGTGAGGGAGTACCACAGCATCTAATTTGTAAAGTAAACTTCAAGTGAGGGAGTACCACAGCATCTAATTTGTAAAGTAAACTTCAAGTGAGGGAGTACCACAGCATCTAATTTGTAAAGTAAACTTCAAGTGAGGGAGTACCACAGCATCTAATTTGTAAAGTAAACTTCAAGTGAGGGAGTACCACAGCATCTAATTTGTAAAGTAAACTTCAAGTGAGGGAGTACCACAGCATCTAATTTGTAAAGTAAACTTCAAGTGAGAGAATACCACAGCATCTAATTTGTAAAGTAAACTTCAAGTGAGGGAGTACCACAGCATCTAATTTGTAAAGTAAACTTCAAGTGAGGGAGTACCACAGCATCTAATTTGTAAAGTAAACTTCAAGTGAGGGAGTACCACAGTATCTAATTTGTAAAGTAAACTTCAAGTGAGGGAGTACCACAGCATGTAATTTGTAAAGTAAACTTCAAGTGAGGGAGTACCACAGTATCTAATTTGTAAAGTAAACTTCAAGTGAGGGAGTACCACAGCATCTAATTTGTAAAGTAAACTTCAAGTGAGGGAGTACCACAGCATCTAATTTGTAAAGTAAACTTCAAGTGAGGGAGTACCACAGCATCTAATTTGTAAAGTAAACTTCAAGTGAGGGAGTACCACAGCATCTAATTTGTAAAGTAAACTTCAAGTGAGGGAGTACCACAGCATCTAATTTGTAAAGTAAACTTCAAGTGAGGGAGTACCACAGCATCTAATTTGTAAAGTAAACTTCAAGTGAGGGAGTACCACAGCATCTAATTTGTAAAGTAAACTTCAAGTGAGGGAGTACCACAGCATCTAATTTGTAAAGTAAACTTCAAGTGAGGGAGTACCACAGCATCTAATTTGTTAAGTAAACTTCAAGTGAGGGAGTACCACAGCATCTAATTTGTAAAGTAAACTTCAAGTGAGGGAGTACCACAGCATCTAATTTGTAAAGTAAACTTCAAGTGAGGGAATACCACAGCATCTAATTTGTAATGTAAACTTCAAGTGAGGGAGTACCACAGTATCTAATTTGTAAAGTATACTTCAAGTGAGGGAGTACCACAGCATCTAATTTGTTAAGTAAACTTCAAGTGAGGGAGTACCACAGCATCTAATTTGTAAAGTAAACTTCAAGTGAGGGAGTACCACAGCATCTAATTTGTAAAGTAAACTTCAAGTGAGGGAGTACCACAGCATCTAATTTGTTAAGTAAACTTCAAGTGAGGGAGTACCACAGCATCTAATTTGTAAAGTAAACTTTAAGTGTGGGAGTACCACAGCATATAATTTGTAAAGTAAACTTCAAGTGAGGGAGTACCACAGCATCTAATTTGTAAAGCAAACTTCAAGTGAGGGAGTACCACAGCATCTAATTTGTAAAGCAAACTTCAAGTGAGGGAGTACCACAGCATCTAATTTGTAAAGTAAACTTCAAGTGAGGGAGTACCACAGAATCTAATTTGTAAAGTAAACTTCAAGTGAGGGAGTACCACAGCATCTAATTTGTAAAGTAAACTTCAAGTGAGGGAGTACCACAGCATCTAATTTGTAAAGTAAACTTCAAGTGAGGGAGTACCACAGCATCTAATTTGTAAAGTAAACTTCAAGTGAGGGAGTACCACAGCATCTAATTTGTAAACTTCAAGTGAGGGAGTACCACAGCATCTAATTT